TGCAGTATTAGCACAATGAACTATTGGTAGGCATAAGTGGTGGGAAATTTGGCAGTTTATCAGTAAACATTACAATGCTTTCATATGCAAAATATCTAATTTTTTTATAAAGTCTTAAGGTTTGTAAAGCAATGTTTCTCTCATGCCTTTTTTTTTCTTTTCACATCTTGCCTATTTATGATGCAAAGTAATTTTCAACTTAACATTAAAAATACTTTTATGCATCAGAAAATTTCAAAATTTCACATGCGAAATCTTTATGATGTCGAGATGGTTATCAAACATTTCTTATGAAAAAACTTTATATTTTATCTGTTATTTTCAGTAATTAATCTCTGTACAGGTTTGGTAAATTTGACCGATTTTGCAACCACCATAAAAGAAATAGGAAATAAACATAAATTATGCATCTTTCATTCTAGAATGAACACAAATTATAACACGAAAACATAAAGGTTTAGACAAAATAGCTTAAATCTCATAAGATTATAGTTTATATATATTTATTATTTTTTTATATTGACCTTTCACCCATGTCTGGCTAACAATACAGAAGTTACAATGACGTGGCTCACGTGCACTCATGTTACCATATCAAATAACATAAAAGTGACCTTTGGTCTATACGAAGTAACTTGTCGCGGCTGTGTTTTAATAGACTAGTATTTTGTAAAATACAGTCACTTTTCAATTATTATACATTATATATGTATATAGATTATTGCGGTTTTGAAATAAGTTCTTAAAGTTATTTTTCCTAAAACATAGAAAAGTAAATAAAGAAGTAAAGCAAATAATTATCTCTTCTAGTTACAACCTTTGTACTCAGTTGCTGCTTGACGTAGGTTGCTAAGCTTTTAAAAATTTTGTGCATGGAGGATATGAAACAAAATATTTTTTTTAGGTTTTATATATACATTTGAATAACTATAAAATCATAAATTACTACATCAATACCATAGAATTCAACTATAATTTATTAAGCTAAGTAACTAAGATGTATTTTACTAAAAAAAATATATGAAATTTCGAGCAGACTAAAGACACAACCTACCTCATTGAAATCTTGATTTAAAAGAAAGAAATGATGCTAGGTATGTGAAAAAGGTTTAGAAAACCACTAGAGGGCATTCCGATTGGTTATTCATGTCATACATAGAATTAAGTGTATATAAGGGAACATTTTCAAAATATGCCACCGTTTGATTTATTACATGAGCAATATCTTAGCAAATAGAAAAGATAAGCCCTTCTTATTTTATATTCTAGCTTGTCAATATCTGTAATACGAGTTTCTAATTCATATAAAACTATAGAATTTGTATTTTGACTTCACAAACATCTAATTTGAACCAGTGCTGTATTCAACATACCACATGAAACACAAAAAAATTCGATGTTTATCTGTATTTTTTAATATTTACTTTTAAATTAACAAACTAAGTAATGTATAGTACTAAAATCTGAATTATAATCAACAGTTTGATACCAAAGTTACTGACATAAATTCATGAAATAGTAGTTCAATAAAATTTTGAATGTGAGTCAACAAACAAGATGACATGGCCTTTCACCTGTGACCCGTATCGAAAGGGTTAAGCGACTATCACTCATCAGCATGTTTTTAAACAGCTAAAAATTTTTTCTGCCATACCAGTGAACCTTATATTGTAATAGGGCCAGTCCATGTTAAGTCAATCCACCTTAAAGACAAAGATTAATAAATTTTGATGCTGTTTGACAGATATCGGTTCCATAGATATAACATTTCACCAGGTTTTTACATCTATAGGTCAAATGATTTGTGTTTGAGAGGTCACCAAATATTTGCCTTGAAATGGCTCCCAGATAAGACCAATGACATAAAAGTACCAATAAAGTTTCTACTTGTAATTCTACATAAACAGTAAACTGTTGATGGAAAGTTCCCTCTGTGTGCTAACCAGATACGCCATTTTTTAAAACATTCAGAATTCTGATCTTTGACCTCACTTGGATTGTCACAGCCCCAACTTGAATGACCAAAATCAAGGTTAAATACTGAAGTTCAAACAATCCTCTAAGTTTGTATCAAAAACCAGCATGGGATCTTAATGGGCTCAAGGGATATTAATTCATTACATTGTGTCATTGCAGTTTCATAGGTCATAAGTTTAGGAATGAGTGGAAAGGGAAATAACTTGCAAGAAGGTAGAAAGTGCAGTCAATCTGTTAAAATATGTATAGAAATTAACATTTGCTTACTAATTTAAAAGTTATAGCATTAAAACTATGACAAGCACAAAATGGTTATGAGGTCGATCACAGGGATTGAGCCTGGGTTGAAAGAGTTAATGCAAAATGTGACACTAAAAAAGCAGAACATAAAACTAAGTGTTTTTGAGTGAGGAGAGATCTGGTTCTGCTTTACAGCATCTCAAAAAGTAATCTTTACATTTTAAGCAGTTGTAGAGTATTGAAAATAGAAGACTGTGTGTGTATTCATTTATATAGTGTTTTGTAAATTGTATTGTTATGGGGGGATTAATCAGGATAATAGTTATATGTACTAAATGTTTAAAAAGATTTATAGTGATAATTCCTCTAATTCTCTTTAAGTCCCTTTAAAAGTGGATTGATTCTAGCATATATGAAAAAAAAATATCCCGTAAAACTGTAATATGCTCGTAAACGTGTTTTCTTGTTACATGCATTACATTTGCTCTATGTATGTAGAATTTTTGAGAAAGAAAAAATATGGGGGGGGGGGGCAAATGCCCCTTGTAGTACTGCCAGATAGATGTAACTTCTACATGCTCATATAATAACAGCTGAATGATGTAGTGATAGATAAGAGCAGCTACATGATGTAATGATAGATATAACAGCTACATGATGTAGTGACAGATAAGATAACAGCTGCATGATGTAGTGACTGATAAGATAATAGTTGCATGATGTAGTGACATTAGATAATAGTTGCATGATGCAGTGACAGATAAGATAACAGCTGCATGATATAGTTATAGATGAGACAACAGTTGCATGATATAGTTATAGATGAGATAACAGCTTCATGATATAGTTATAGATGAGATAACAGCTGAATAATATAGTGATAGATTAGGTAACAGCTACATGATGTAGTGACAGATAAGATAATAGTTGCATGATGTAGTGACAGATAAGATAACAGCTGCATGATGTAGTGACAGATAAGATAATAGTTGCATGATGCAGTGACAGATAAGATAACAGCTGCATGATGTAGTCACAGATAAGATAACAGCTGCATGATGTAGTCACAGATAAGATAACAGCTGCATGATGTAGTGACAGATAAGATAGTAGTTGCATGATGTAGTGACAGATAAGATAACAGCTGCATGATATAGTTATAGATGAGATAACAGCTGCATGATGTAGTGACAGATAAGATAATAGTTGCATGATGTAGTGACAGATAAGATAACAGCTGCATGATGTAGTGACAGATAACAGCTGCATGATATAGTTGTAGATGAGATAACAGCTGCATGATATAGTTATAGATGAGATAACAGCTGCATAATATAGTGATAGATTAAGTAACAGCTGCATGATGTAGTGATAGATAAGTTAACAGTTTGTCTTTATTTGATGGAACTGTTCATTATATTACTTGAATGAATTGTCTTGAAACATATTGATTTTCTGGTTGACTCTGAAGAAAAGCAATTAAGATCGTAAGTTATGAAAAAGACTATTTTATTAAAGCTGCCCAAACTAATTTTACCGTGACACATACTGACTTGAGATGAACTTTATACTAGGATGCTAATGCATGCTTACAAAAATAAATTCTACAACAGGCTAATCTTTGTAGTGCTTGTATGTGGTAATTTAGATTTTTACTTGGATGTTGATTAAACATTATGATATAATCTCTTAGTTACGCAGTGCATGGTTTCATATTTGCATAATTGAAGTATGTATTGAAAATAGGTTATATGTTTTAATACACAATATTAACAACAAATAACAATAAGTTGTTCCTGAAGTTTGAAGATTATACTCTACAATACATGATAACATTTTTATTTTTTAAATCTAACTGATTCATTTATCATTCTGTAGCTGTATCTATTTGTTGCTCATGTTACTAGCTCATTCATTGTCTCCGTTCTGAAGATATGTAGTAATGTTTATAAATATGATCATTACAGGAAACTCCATATACAGGTAGCAAAAGTGTAGGAACAATTCACAGCCCAGAAGTTAGTATAAATGGCACAAACTTGCCAGTAAGCCCAGCACCTATTCAGTCATCTCTCCAGAATACAGGCACAAGTCCTGGTCATCAGGGGCCAACACTGGGAGCTAGGCAGAGTCACCATTCACAGGTAGAATTCAGAGAATTAGGAAACTTTTTCTTTTAAATATGGAAAAATGAAATTGTACAATGAAATAAATTAGTTTTTAGAAAAGGTAACAATAATAATAATAACAAATGAGATAATGAAAGGTACTCGAGACTTTTATATTTAGTTTATAAAAAGTAAAACTCTGAAATTGTTATACAGTTGTTACTGAAAAAAATATTATAATTTAGACACAGTAGAAATAGAAATGTCAAACAAGTTAGTACGAAATATTTTTCTTACAGAAGTAACTAATACTATTAATAAAAAGAAGAAATTTATTTTGAAAGAACTTTGGAATTTTTATGGGTATGTCATATTAGTGGTAGTATTAGATAAGGAAATGGGTCCTATTATATTTATTCCAAAAAATTATAGGCCAATACATATTTTAAAAATTAGACTGAACTCTAAATATGGTATATAAAATAGAAACTACCTGTTTTACTAAAAGAATGAAAAATTTACCCAAATCATTTCATGATAATCAAAAAGATTATATTTAAAGTTGATACATCAGAGAAGGTACAGATTATTCGACTTTTTTAAAACTTGAAAAGTTATGATTTACATGCCTGAAGCTGATGAAACACTAGAAACCAATAGGCCTGAAATCTCTGATAAAGTTTCTTTTTATGTATTTATCTTATTTTGTCCATTTTGGATTCAAAATTCAGTCTTAAGAAGAAAAAAAAATAGCATTTCGGATCTATCTTTTGTCTCCCACAAGTCACTGTTAAAGAGGCTTTTCATTCCATAGTGGAAAACAAAAGATTCTCTGAAATACTATTTATAGATGCAGTATAATATTTTTAACTATACTGAAAATACTTACATACTGGGCTATTTATTATTAGTTGACTTTAAAAAAGCTTTTGACTTTGTTCCGTGATCTTTTATTCTAAATGGTGTTTTTAAACCCCATTTTAAAGTAAATGATAAATAATGATTTATTGTTAATTAGTTTTTCAAGAATATTAACTCAAAAATATGTCAAAATGGACAAATTACTAAATGTTTTATGTCAAAAACTTGGAGAATTTGAGAAAAATTTAAAGGAATTATTATTAAAGCAAATGAACATAAGCTATTGCAGTTTTATTTTAAATGGTAATGAAGAACCTTTGTCTCTGTTATGACCCGCGAATATCTTTCAGGTGTCAAGTGTACACCTGTATATCAATTTCAAAATTTAGGTAATAATAATAATTCTAACTTCAACAATTTTTCAATTAGTATATTATGCCAAGAAACAGGTTTATGTTTGCTAAGAAACTACCATCTCTTGAGAATATAATTATCCTTGTTTTCTTTCTCATGTGATTTTCCTCCTCTTTTTGTTAATGTTATTAGTATCACCTCTCGTACCCTCCTTTTTACAACCTCACAGCATAGGATCTGAACAACTACTTAATGCTTCAACCTTGAAAATAGCAATGGGCAAAGTTTAAGTACCATTAGATGGAACAGAGTATAAACACTGTATATGAATGTAGAACAAGTAATATGGAATGAAAGATAATTTATAGTTTCATGGGAAAGTAATGACATAATTCCTGCAAGGAAGAACAGATTCTAATAGGAAGCTTAGAAGACCACAGATCTAGAAATTTTTAATAGCTTCTTTATGTGTTCTTTTATTTCCCAAAGATGTTTTTGTGCTAGTTTATACTTGTTTGAAAGTCACAGAAATCTTCTATAACAAGACTTCTGGTAAGCCTAGTTGGGTTCAGAGAGAACAGTTGGTGATGACATTATCCTGTTCACTCAGATTCTTATTTACTGAATATTATTGTGTTAAGTTTATCATATTCAAACAACATTTAAGTAAACAGATGTAAATAGAAAAATTCATGTTATTGAAAAGAAACTATTTCTTAGATATAAGTTGGTCATGACTAAAAATATTTTTACCATAATGCTATTTTGGAAGGTCAGTTGTTGGGTCACTGATATGTCTTTGTCTGTCTATGTGGTGTTTTTAATCACATATAGCTAGAAATGATGACTACTACTGCAATTGGCAAAATATAGTAGCAAAATAAATATGTTAATGAAAATCAATCAAACTGAAAGTAAATGGAAATACAAAATGGAACTTCTGATAATTAGTAAAAACAATTTTAATTGCAAGAATAAACTATTCTTAATGTTTTTTCAAAAACAAAAAAGTGTATCACAACAAAATTTTAGAAATTTCAGTTATAAAAAATTGAAAAAAGTAATTAATATTATATGAATTGTTTTAAGCCTAAACTAGATACTGTCTACTGACTTTAAGTTTCATGCAGTTTTGTTAAGAATTTCCACTGTGACAATGAAAACATCAGTGGATGTCAGTGATATCCTTCATGTCAGAAAGGGTTAAGGGCAGTTTTTGGGTTGTTTAAAAAGTTTTTTTTATGATAAAAAATTTGAAAATTAATATTTAGAAAAACTGTTACCATAAACTTTGGAAGCATATAGAAATAAATCAGCTTGAAATTGTTAGAACTAAACTGATGTAACAATTTTTTTAATATTTGGGATTACCATTTAATGCTGATTTTGAAAGAAAAAAATAGGTCGGTGAAAATTTTCATCAGAGAAATTAGGAAGCACCTTGGAGGGTTAAATTTATTACAACTAACGATTAGGTGGCTATTATTAAATTTCTTGTTATTTCAAAAATGAATAATTTCTTTTCTTTTTTACATGTACTAATCCTTTGGAAAAATAGATGAAAATTTTTTTTTTATTTAGTATTATGTAATTCTTTCTTTACAACACTAGAAACCTTAACTACAAACAAACAAATGAAATGTTAAGCCAAGAAAAATTCTCAGAAAAAACTGTTATTTAATTAGTAGCTGATAGGTGAACAAAAATGAATTTTCTTTCCTTTGACATAATATTTTTATGCTCTAACATGGGTTAGAAGATTATTAACGAAAGTAGAAGTTATGTTTAAGATTTATGTCCTTAATTAACACAGTTCTACACTCATTTTGCTAACTTATAACACATTCTATGTGGTGTAATACGCTATTTGGTAATATTTTTATTTTTTTGTAAGAGCTGTCTTAAAAACGTTTATTAATTAATGTTTTGTTTTTTCCAGTTTTTTCTTTTTCTATCTTTAAAGGTACAGTTTAGAAGTTTGGAGAATCCTGTAATATGTTCAGTTGTAATCCTCTTATCATATATTATGGCATATGTAATTTAATTATTGGGAATTTATGAAGAGTTATAATTTACAAAGTAATGTTTTGCACCTTTCTCTTCAACTTCATTTTATGTACATCAAATTTTCAAACGTACTGAATAAGAAAAAGAATACTATAAAAATTGATTAAATCCTTAGCAGTACCAGCTAAGGCTAAGAAGAAATAGGAATTTAGCTTAGGGATTAAAACAGAGAATGAAACGTGAAGAGATATTTAAACAATCCTTTTGTATGCTTAACTGCACTAGGATACATTGGTTTAGACTGAAAATTTATCAGGATTTTATGTAGAATAGAAATTGTTTATGAAATGAGAGATGATGATGACATTCCTTTTGGATAATTACTCTGAAGGATGTTAGTTGGTTATAATGATGTTAAATCTATTCACGAAAAACAAAAAGGTGTTGAAATGGATAAAAAGAGAAAACTGATATTAAGATATTACGGTCAGTTCTATTTCGGGTGGACAAAATGGAGGTAAACCTGAATTGATGTTCTAAATAACTTCAATTTTCAAAGGATAATAACAATATGAAACTTAATTGAATGGAAAGTTTTGATATATGGCTTTGCCATACTTAAGTAATGTATTTTATTTGTATGATGTAAAGAAAAGCACTGACATTTAAAGGTTAAAGTTTCATTCCATATAGTAATGCAAGTAAAATGAGTATTTGTGTTCCTCAGAAACACAATTCTCTGGTGAAAATTTTTTTTATCACTGTGTACATGTACACATATATATATATAAAACAAAAAAGGGAATAACCTCAAACAGTCATTGAGATCTTAACCATCATGTTTTTAGTCTTCTGCTTTCATCACAAGCCCCAGTCCAATTGGTCAAAGTGTCATTACGTCAGTGGGATCCCAAACTTCATTGCTTGATCTGCCACGTATTCCAGTTACATCCTCTCTGCTTACCAGTGTTGGACACTCAGTAACGTTGTCAAATTTGGCTGGTCAAGATATAATTGGAAACTCTTCTAGAGTACAGGTAAAAATGAATGAGTATTAAAGCTATGGATTAAGAAATTTCAGCATGCATGGTACATGTGTAACACTGAATGAAGGTTATTCAGTCATGACTCAAAAATAACTTCTCACCACACTGCTTGTTTAGTTCTTACTATGTTCATATAGTTGTATATAATATGAACCAGTTTCTTAAAACTTGACCATTATGTTGTACTTAGCTCTTAGAAACCTGCTACAAAATTTACAGAACTGAACATCAGTGTAAAATAAGTTTTTAAACCTTAAAGCTCAATTAAGAAATATTTTGCTGAATAATAGTAGTCTTATCTTCCAAACATGTAAAAATTGTATTTCTGTTTACTTTAAGCCTGCAAATGTAAAAATGTATTGTTTTACTAAGAACTATACAAAAACATGTTAAACTTCATCAAACTGCCATATAACATATGTTTTGTGATTTTAATTATTTCATTGATTTTCATTTTTAGGTATCTTTTTATGGCTAGAAAAAAAGATGTAATTATAGTATTACCTGTGAAATTTGTTCCACAGATCTTCTAGATATGATGACAGGTTATTTATAAATCTAATCACATGTGCCTAATATCCTACAATTAACAATAGAAATATTAAGTTCAGGCATTTATCAAATGTTGTATTTTTCAGACTGTAGATGGCATAAATTTGTTTGTGTGAGTAATGTAATATAAGAGTGATGTAATAAAGTGCAGTGAGTTTTTGATGACTAATAAGTAGCTAAGTAACATAACTAGTCCATAACTATTAAGAAATCACATAGGATTAAAAAAATGAGAAGCCAACTCCAATTTTGGAAGGCAGACCTTCCTTCTTCAGTGTATCCTGAACATGCTCACCCTTTCAGCCGTGGGGGCATTATAATGTGACGGTCAATCCCACTATTCATTGGTGAAAGAGTTGGCGATGGGTGGTGATGACTAGCTGCCTTCCCTCTAGTCTTACACTGCTAAATTAGGGATGGCTAGCGCAGATAGCCCTCGTGTAGCTTTGTGCGAAATTCAAAAACAAACAAACAGTGTATCCTGAGAAAAGGTCTACCCTCTGAAAGCACTTTTATGATTGAATGTTTTGTTTTCTGATAAAGGACTAAGGTACCCCCCCCCTTTTGTATCGATTAAATGTTGTTGATATATTTTAAAATTAATGTTATTTAGCTCAAGGTGCAGAAATAAAATTACTGAACAATTCATGGTGTTACTGATGTTGCTAAATAATATTTATTTGTGTTACAGTTGAAAGACAGTTGGTTGTACAGAAAATTTTGATAACCAAACAACATAAGTGGAGTATCTTCGTATTGAAGAAAGCTCATACTAAAATATTCCTAAAATACGAAAGATTGAAGCTGATAAACACATATTCATAATTTTATTTTTACATTTTCTGCTAATTTGACATTCATAAGTTTTGTTTCTACATGTCAATAGGGACATCCATCTGCAGCCATTGTCTATCAGACAATTTCTCCACCATACAGTAATATAAACACTGCAAGCTCAAGTGTAGGAAACGTCACAATTTCATCCTCAGCCAGTCCCTTACACTCTTTATGTACCGGTGTAATGCTACCTGTCACCATGGTAACATCTCAACCATCTTTTCAGCGCCCATCTGGAGGCCCTAATTCAGTCTGTCCATCAGATGATAAGAGGTGACATACTTTTGTCATGCTGGATTAAACTGAAGTTGATAAAAAAAAAAAAACTCTGTACATCACATCCAAGATTTGGCCTGAAATGTGTTAACCCTTTGCTTACCAAAACTTGCAACCACAATCAGTCAGGACTGTAACGAGTTTTCTGACTGACACACACAAACAAAACGAACTTGTACTTTAATAAGTCAGTACAGTCATGGTATGATCTAGAGTATATTCCAAGTATTTTAGTTGATATAGGACAGGTAGTATATAATCCTGAAATTAGTATGAAGAACTGTATTTTCAACATTTCCATTATTTATAGGACTGTTTTTAAAAACTATTGTTTGTTTGACATGTTCTTCTGTTCAGAACCACCATACTTGTGGGCCTTTTTTACCAGTCTCAATTTATACAGCAGATAACTAAAGCAGTGGATTATCACGCATCAAGATCATACACAAAAGAGAATCATGTTAATAAATGCATGTATGTATATATAGTTTACACATGGAAGGATAGAAATAGAACTTATGTTTCTTGGTTGTAGGAAATAATCACTGATTGAGTGACCTTACAATTTTGTTTTTCCTTTTAATTTGTCATGCAGATGTACTTGCAATCTGTGCAAAAGCAGACATAACTTATTTTAACAAAATAACTCAAAAAACTTTGATCAATAATAACAACTGCAATTCAGTCATTTGTAATAGACACATATTTAGTGGTGTGACAAGAAAGCTGGTACTGTAAAGTAGGATAAAAATTCTCCAGGATTGATAAGCAAAGGGTTAAGTACTGTTTCTGAAATAATGTGATTCTATACATTTTTCTGTTCCTTTTATTTTGTTTTGTTTTCAATTTAGAATTGGACAAATTTAGAAGCTCGTACAGTTTTTATAACTTTCATAATATAAATTTATCAGTGTTAAAAAAAAATATTTTTTAAAGTGTTGTAAGGAATTACCATTTGTGTTCTTAGGTTGAGTTTTTGTTTTTGAATCGGCAGCATATTATGTTTTTAGAAAACATAGCTTAGAAGTGATAGTTATAACCTTCCAATAAGTAACTTCTAAAATAAAAGTATTATGGTGATGTTCTGGTGGAAAACGATATGGTAACATACTACTTCTCAGTAATCTTTTAAGTGCCAATGTTCTTGTGCATGTGACTGCCTTATAGAAGTTTTTCTTTTTTTTTTTTTTTACATATGCAAAGTTTAAAAAGTTTTTTTTTTATCTTTCTTCGTTATGCAAAAACAGACTTATGTATTTCGAGCATTTTATTGTGGGTTTAAGCTTTTCAAAATGTTTTTAAGAACGTATTTGTTTAGAAGTTATAAAAAACTGTGCTTGAAACGAAACAATAATAACTTCATAACTGAAGTATCATAATTGTTGTATAAAGTAGTTAACTGTAGAAAATATGCAGTATAATATTGTTCCTCGAGCTGTTGCCACAAATATTGTTATTTTGAATATCAATTTTAGCATAAAACTGTCTTCATGAAATTGAAAAAATTTGATTTTCCCTTTTTTGTTGGAAATATCAATTAAGAAACTATTTTGTATAGACGAAGGGATTACCTGTTATATTTTATGCAAACTTTGATTCTATATATATCAAAGAAACCAAAAGAAAATATTTTCTTTTTATTAAATTTGAACAGTTCTGACTGACATATCTTGAAAACTGATTGTGTTACACATTAATTTTTCTTACTTTCAAGTCATCTTTTTACTAAATCTATTACCTAAACAGCTCAACATTGTTTTCCCAGAGCCTGTATTGTTAATTGATCATGTCTCAGATGTGATCAAGCTAAAGTCTTGAAACGTGCTTTTTCTGGACACTAAAATAATTTATATTTGCATATACGGTTATAATAATGACTGCTTTAGTGTTGTAAAAGGAATGAGGTTCTTATGACCAGCGTTTTATCACTAACATAACTACAAATAAAGTCATGTATATGTATAGTTTTAATATTTGTAGTTTAGCAGTAATTGATTTTCTTTTAATTTTGTTTTTCCTGCTGTTATTGGTAAGTGTACAAGATTCTTATCCTGCAGTAACATGAGCATCATGCACACTTTTCAAGGCTACAGCAAAAGAGTGGAATGTTTTATAACTTTTCTTAAATCACGTGATGTTTAGCATGTAGTTCTTAACTGTGAAAATACATGCAACATTGTTACATAAACTTGAAGAAAATGAAAGCTACATTGAGTGGACATGGATGCCAATTTTATAGCTGAAGCATTTCGATTTACTTTTCCACTGCCACATCTATTAAAAAAAATCTCACATTGTTGGGTTTATTTTTAGATATACAGTATAAAAACAAAACTAAAAGGATGCTCATTTTAATATTTTGTAACTTCTCTAAAATGTAGAACTGGTTAACTTTGGGAAATTTAAAGGGCAAATACCCTTTTTTTATGGTGGTACAAAATTTCAAACTCCCCACAGTGTTTACAGGGGGGGACATATGCCCATGGCAGTAAAGAAGTTAAGCAATTTGGATGTATTCAGTTAATGTACAGTGTGCTGTGTGTGACTTTACTGTTGGTTACTTAAACTTGGTTAAAGTACTATGCACATTCTGGTCTAAGTAAGCTTTGAGTCATATAAAAGGGTTTGAATAATACTAAAGGTTATGTATGAATCATGTAGAGGACTTACAGCACTGTTAAGAAAACTGAAGATAAGACAAAATATCTGAAAGTAGGGCTGAGTTGATGTGAAAATGGATTGTACTTTATTTAAGTTATTGACACTCAATCTTAAGCAGGGATTATTTATTTTACTCTGAAAACAAAATAGAGTTTATCTGCACAAAACCGTCAGAGTAAACTGTTGTTTATGTTATCATAGAAACACTCAGGTTCAAATAGGGTTTATCTATGTTACCATAGAAACACTCAGGTTAAAGCAGGGTTAATCTGTGTTAGCATGAAAACAGAGTAAAACAAGATTTATTTATATTAGCATCAAAACATTGTATATCAGGAGTGTCTATATTAGCATGACGATAATTCCTTTTCTTTTTCCTTCTATTAACATGAAAATGAGAGCAAGGGTTATCTAAGTATGAGAACAGATTAAAACAGAATTTACCTATGCTTTCTTAAAAACACACTCAAATCAAAGGTTGTCATAAAAACATTGGATTAAAACAGGGTTTGTGTTGTATTAAACAAATTGTATTTATCAATGCTTAAAAGGGATTGGATTTATTAGCAATAAAACACTTAAAACAGCTTATCAATTTTAATATAGAAAAAGTCATGTTACAAGTGAAATAATGAATATATTCCTGAATGAATTAGTGTGTTTTCATAAATGAAGTTACATTTGTAATTTTGATGAAATTAGTAGCTGCAAAGAAAGATGCTATTGAAACGTGTAATTGAAATTTCACTCATTTATAACACAAGGTTTTAGCATCCTCCTTATAAATTCTTAATTGTGCTCCGAAATCTGTTACTGACAGTTGTGACGAGTATTAAAGTACTGACAGTTGTAGGTGTAGCTAGGCACTGGCACACGGGACCCATGCTCCGATAATATTTGACAGTGCCTCTAATCACCAGTTGGTGTCTTGAAAAATTAGAATAGAAAGTTATGAATGACATCATGCTGAAACGCTGAAAATTTGTGCGCCTATGGGCCCGAGACCCGAGTCACTTCTGCTGACAGTCATGTTTTTTGCAATTGAGCTACTTTAGTCTCATAACCCAGTTTCGTATGAAGTCACAATAATGATAGCTAAGCTGTAGACACTTGAATTTGAACTTAATGATTTTACCGGAAAATACTTTTTCAAAATTAATGGCTAATTTTCTTGTAATGTATGAAGTTGATTTCTTGTTTTCAGTTTTATTCTTGTGCTAACTAATAATGTTTCTTGTTTCATGAAGATTGTTTCACCTAATTTTAATGTGTTTCTGTTCTCTCGTTATTTACTTACACGATTTGAAAGAAGCATAATTATACAATGTTAATAATTTTACCATGTCTTTTATGAGAAAATTTGAGTTAGAATAATTTGAAAATTTCATATCCCTCCTGCCTTCCAAAATCCTGTTAGTCAAGAATTATTAAAGACCGTCCCCAGAGTTGTCAAACATAAGATATGTTGGAATACGAAATTTTATTTTGTAGGAAACTGAATTATATAATCAACTTTGCAAGGTTAGAAAAAAAAACTTTAAATTCCAAGATGTGAATAAATTACCCCTTCCCCCATTTTATGCAAATATAAAGCAGAAATTTAAGTAGTTTTTATTGTATGCATTCATTACTAAAGATGATTTAACATGTAGCTAAAAGACTTGATCGTAGTTAAAACTGTGATTTGACTTGCTTCTTGTCAGGAATATTGAAAATACTGTATGCTTTTAAACTTACGTGCAAAATTAAATTGTCAGTTACTATCATTGAAGTTTTAAAAAATATTAATTTATCATCAGAAACAAATTTCATGCTTTGTGTAAATATAATCAATGTAAATATTTTAAGAACCTTTTCATTCAGAGTTATGATAATGCCTGACAAGCTACTTTTTGCTTCTTTTTCATTGATCTGTAGGTACATAATGAACTTGGCATAAGATATTTATCTAAAATAAAATGTTCTGAGTGCACAGTTTCAAATCCATCATTAAATGGTAAGAATAGTTAAAATAAGTACAGTACAAGGTGCAGACAGTCGAGTATAGGAACTCCTAATCTTCTGGTAACATTTCAAAATAAAGCACTATCAGGGACTTGTATGGGTTGAGCAATAAAGTTTACATGTGGACTGTGTTAAAAAAGAAATCTTGATAGCACATATACTGGACACAAGAGCAGTGGGTAAGAATTACACGTGGGATTAAACTGAGTAATTCTTAATGAAATTAGGTAACGTGTAAAGCGTAAATGGTTTAATATATGAAGGACGTGGTTGTAAATGGTACTTATGGTAATTCAAATACAAGTATCACTATTTTTGCATATTATGGTTAAAAATTATTTGATTTGTGAAAATTTGGTGTTTTATAAACATGTGAGTATTTATAGCAAATGCAGAACCAGATTAGGTTTCTTCAAGGTTCTAGAATTATTACTAGTAAAAAATAAAACTGTTAAGCTTCTTTAAGTAGAATAAAACTGCTGTTAGTAATCACTCGTGTTTTTACTGGTATGGGCCAAAGGGTCTTGTATAACAAATTTTCTCAGAAAGAGAATGTTTTATGATATGGCATTCTTTTGATACAACTTACAAAATAATTTTTTATTAAGTAAATTGCTACTTTTGACATTATTTAGCTTGAAAAAGACATGAATTTATTTTTAGTTATGTACCTATGATGGTTGACATGTTCTCTGATGCCAAGTCATGGATTACATTAAAAGCAAAACCCTGATGTATCAAACTGAAATATCAGACAAAGAAAACTATTATAGTATATATTGTTTATGTGTAAGAACTTTGACATACTCATCCTTAACATGAAGTATCATTAATCATAATTAATTTTCTTTCATTTAAGTGTACATGTAGTTTGAACTGGTGTGTAATAGTTTTCAGTGTGCTCACTAGAAATCCATGATATTACGGTTTAACTTAAAAAATATTAAAATAACAGTAATCTCTCAAATGTATGCAAAGAGAGAGAGAGATAATGCTGGCCTACGTTGTTTTGTCAGACAGCTTATTGCTTTTGTCAGGAGTTGTATTTAATAAACAGGTGTTTGGTTATAGGTTGCTGCAAAATTATTTAGGTCCTGGTCTTGTTGTACTTGGTTAAAAAAAAAAGAGGGAAATTCAGCTTGAACTTAAAAAATAATTGTATATCAAAATGGTAAACAAAGTACAAAAAATGTTTAAATGTATTATATTCTTATATCATATCCATAGATAGTTTGGAATTAATATGTTGTTGCATTTTTATAATATTATTTTGTCCTAGTTGGATGGAATAATGTAAGAATATCATTAAAAAGCAGTATGCTATACTTGACACTATTTTGACCTTTTAATAGTAGTAATAAATGACCTTATAACACCAAATTTGTTACTTTTCTTTAATTGGACACTCAGTGTTTTGCTTTTACAGCTTCTTCAGGAGCATTCCACCAAAACACAAACTGTAACTAGCAGTACAAGTTATCAGTTGGTTTAATTGTACTGTAAGTTATGATTTGTGTATTAGTGGAAGGCTCCTGAAAAAGCTGTAAAAGCAAAATGGTGGATGTCCATTTAAAGAAAAACAGTTTGATGTTATAAATTCGTTCATTACTAATATTAAAATGTCTTTTTTTTCATACACCAATATGCACTACAGAAATTAAATAATGACTGTTTTGACCTGTTGAGTCCTCCTATAAGTAAATTTTGTTACAGTAACCAGAGTGAAAGATACTGAGATTATTTTAGCAAAAGAACATTTGAATGAGAGAGGAGGAGCAGTTTTTATATTGATAGCTGACTACAGAGTTTTACATTGTTAAGATTTGTCAGTTATATCCTATTAAAAAAAAAACACTACAAGCAAGCTATTCATTGCCAGTAAACCTAATGGTAATGCATTACTTTGTAGTTTATGCAATAAGGTAATAGTAGGTCATGGTTTAAGGCAATATTAGGCTCACACTAAAGTTCTGACATAACCTGACAGAGACCATTGAGATGACATTACGACGAATAGCTCTGTGTCAGGTCTGGATTTAAAAGACTGAAGATAATGAAAGGTTTTATTCCCAAGATATTAAATACATGACATAATTTAGGGTCTGTATGTGAGAAGATTGTGAAGTAATAACTATGGCAAGTGAGTAGTTTAAAGTTAATGATAAAAACTCAAAATCTGTGCCATCCCTATGTAGACTGGCCCACTTTTTTTCTTTTTGTTTTCAGTCAAATATACATTGTTTATATGTAACCAATTTGCTTCCCTTGAAAAGTATGAACATACTAATCTACAACTGGTTAAAAATCCTGAAGCCAATCCTCCTGACAATAACCGTTTTTGTTGTTGGCAAGTTGATATTTTCACATTAGACATTCATAATGTCACTCTGTTACACTGTGTAACAGAAGCAATGAGCCTGTGAGACAAGTGAAGGGAAAAAGACTACTAGTAATGGTTTGATTATTGCATGTACACAGTGATATAGCAAACTAATCATATTGAAGAATTACACTATCAAATAATTTCTGTTTTCATGTTTATTAATCATAAAATGAGCTAGAAAGCTGAGCCCTGATATGTTTGCCATCTTTGTTTAGAGGATATCCAATTTTGTGTAGTACTTTTTTTTTTTGTCTTGTCTACTTTCTTCATACCTACAATGCTCGGTCAAGTTTTTCTTATGTCATAGTTTCATTTTAAAAATCCAAACATGCAAGGTGTAAGTTTTCTTTTGTCAAATTCTGGTACTGTTTCACCAGTGAGCATGTTATAAAATTTGTAATAGAGATGTCAAAAAAAAAAAGTTTACCAATGAATAATTCTTAACATAGTTTTATTCCGTTTAATTGTAGTTTTAAAAATGTACCAAATACTCTAGGTTTAGGCTTCTTGTATACTAGCTTGTTGCAGTAGTTCAAAGTTTTTAGTGTGTTTTAAATCCATTTGTACATTTTTTGTCATTTCAGAACATGTAATGTTGTTTGTAAAATTTCTGTATACCTGACAGATATTTGTGTGATTGTACACTGTAAATATCCTGTCCACAGTTTATTAAAACTTATATTTGAAATTATCAGTAATACTGTTACGTCTCTGGTCGTTTGTTAATTACTCGTAAAAATTCTTTCCGAAGAACTTCAGCGATACAAGTCCTTTCTTAAATAAAACTAGTTTATTCTTTCTCAATACAACTTTGCAATACACTTAATTACCACAGTCAGTTTAACATAAACACACGCTATAATTCCCAACGAACGATTCACGCGCTTTACTTGCTACCGCGCTTGACTCAATTGTCCGTCTATATCTTCAATCTCTGTCTGCTATTTCTGTTCCGATTGATTGTCGGGCTTATATATTAGAATACATCATATCTAGCAAACACGTGAGTCCTGACCTTGGAAGGTGTTAAAATTAGGCAGGCTTTTGATTAAGCAACTTTTGACAATTCTTCTTTTTATATAGTTATCCGTTTTGTATAAAATACTTGAAGAGTACGCACGAATGTGTCGAAACTGGTTTCTCTGATATCAAACTTCTGACAGTTTGTTCCGTTTACTGTGGTTTTTTTCACTAATTGCTGTACACGATATTGTGTTCTTTTATTATTACTATTGTTGGTAAGGCCAATCTTAGACCACACATATTGCCAAACTTTCAGTAGACGTTGTGTGTGGACGTTGGCTTTCAACACAAGATTAAACACACACAAAAAAAGCCCATTGAAGATACAATGGGGGGAGGGAGAGGTTACAAATATGTGATCCATTAAGATATTCATGTCGTTGATCTAAGGGTGTAATTGGAAGTTTGTGAACCTTTTACGTGAAAAGAAACTTTGGG